CATCGACCACATTGGGTCGAGGATGACCAACGACATGGCCCTATCTATGGTGACTGCATTTCACGCTACCAATCTCGGAGCGCTGACTTCAATCATGCGACGAGGGCTAGTGCCGGGAGGTCTCGGTTCATCGGGAAGGGATTCTATCCACTTCACATGTTTTCCGCCATGGGCCTGGGAGCAGGGCTACAAGGGTAAACCTTGGCTGGGTCGTAAGGTCGCATTGAGTGATCGCCCAGTGGTTCTCTACATTCCGGTGTGGAAGCTGCAGGAGTACGGACTTCTCATCTCAGCGACTGGCTCTCTATTGGTTGAGAACGTCGTTCCCTTCGATGTGGTTAAAGGGGCATGGTTGCAATGCGACAATGCGGAACCCGGACAGCCTGAGGAGATCGAATGGATCCGGTTACTCAATGGGGAACCCGACCCTGGAAGCTACCTTGTTCTGGAGTCCAAATACGGAAACCCGATCATGATTCCACGCTTTCAAAAGCTTGAGAGCTTAGCGGTTGAGGTCCTAGACGATACCTACTCCGAGGACGACGCCAAAATCTCAAAGCTGTTGGGTATGATCGAGGAGAATGGTGTTTACCCAGAATATGATAGCACCGAGTGGCAGGAACTCTTCGAGGAGATCGTGTATCGCCGAGCGATGAAAGACTACGATTCAAGGCCGTGTCCGTGTCCTAACTGTCTTGGCGAAGTCGATGTGCGATTGACGATATGTCCGCACTGCGTAGCGGTTTTGATCGCGAATGGGAAGCTCACACATGTGGTACCCAAGGAGACAAGGGACCGCAATCAACGATCACCTCCGAAAGATGTCCCAGCCAGTTCTTCCGGTGAAACAACTTCAGCTGCAGGTGCAAACATCGATGAAGTCATCAAGAACGCACGCAAGACAGCCGAAGAGGTCATTGAGATCGAGGAATCCGAAGGAGAGGAAGAGGAGGAAGTTCCTATCATTTTGAAGGAACGACCGGACGAAGCTGAAGGCGAACCCGAGTATCGGGAGGTCCCTCAAGATGGATACGGGAATGAACTTCCGAAGCCTTTCCCCTTCGCGATTGACGAATTGCCGCAAGAAGCTGCGATCCCCATCGACCACAACTTTGCCGTCACACAGCAATTTGATTTGAGGTTGATGAAGTTGATCAAGAGCTTGGCCAACGCAACGTTCGACATCAACTGCTTTGAAAGTCGTGAAGATGTACTGCGAATGTTCGACGATGGACAGCGGCATGACACTCCGCACAATAGATGGCCGATAGTACCGAATGATCCGGATACTGGGTTTCCAAGACGTCTCCAGAGAGCCGAGGTCGTAGGCATGAGCAGATGGACCGACGACGTGTATGCAGCAGAAGCGTGGCAGATCTATGAATTCCACGCCAATGTTGTTCATCCGATGATGATCACTGCAATCCGCTGCGGGCTTAGCCACAAGTACCTCAAAGAGGTCGGCAGCACTCAGCGTAGCACGAGTGATCCAAAGGCTCGAAAGTCTGAGACCCAGGATGAGATCATCGAGAAATTGGCATTCATCTCAAATTTCATCAGACGTATGATCAAGAAGACCTTCGGAGCGAGCCGATATAGCTACTACCAGAAACCAGATGACGAAAGTGCCGCTCCATACAAATTCATCGACATTAGTCCCGCCATCAAATCGGAGAGGAAGAATGTCACGAAGGAGATCCTCGTTGCATGCCGCTACTATGGCATAGAGGTATCCGATATCCAAGAAAGGAAATTGAAGTCCTTCGAGGAGCAGATCCGAGCGGGAAATCCAAGGAACGTTGAGCTCATCAAGGACTACATTGGCTTTGTCGGCGCTGACTACATGCGACAACTCACGAATGGTTGAGCATTGGGGTCATGCCGACATGCCACTTCCGGTACTTCAAGTACTGAGGGATCGCGGGTAATTCATGGTGACCGTTTTGGCATCATGGGAGTGAGATAGGATTATGTCTCACACCGTTGGTAATCGCATGATACCATAGGTAGGTGCACGTTTTCCGCATGTAGCTCCATTGCCTGTTTGATCCAACTTTCAAGCGAATGCAAGATCTTTTGCTAATTCAATTCAATAGGACATACTGGTTGACCTCCAATACACTTTTGAGAACGTGATTCGTTCTCCGGTTTTACATCCACTCATCTCCCTTCCCCGTCGAAGTACGGATGTGGGGGGTGTCAATAGGGATGGGGTCCCAGTATAGTCGCTATACAGGTACATGCCATATACTTTTGGCTCAAGTGCCCAACCAGGTAAAAAGGAGCTTTAGCGCGCGAGCTTCATGTTGACCTAAGAGCTAGAACGGGGCCAGGGCACACCTTTCCATCCGTTCGCATAAACTACGTCTTCACAATCCTTCCCACCATGTAGTCGTAGTCAGGAGCGTCGCTTCTAGACTCTAGACCCAGTGTTTTCCCCGAGCGACAGCTATGTGCCCATGGGCGCCTGGAACCCATCGATGGGAAGCTGACCCAAGGGGATTGAGCCGTCGTGCCACACTCATATTGAGAGTAGATGAAAGTAGATGGCATGTTGACTCATATTAAGCACCCAATCACCCTGCAGTTTATGGCATTGGGTAATCGAACAAACAAGAGCATGGGACCTCACGCACCGCATGTGCGTGAGTTTCCACTGCTCTGAGCTTGCCAGGTACTGTCCAGATCCATTATGAGATTCCAGACGTCTTGTTAAACAACAAAGACTATGTGAGTAGCAAGGCGGGACCGTTGACTGAGCTGAAGACTCCGTCGGTGACGGAGAGGTGTCGGATGAAAGGAAGAAGTTGTTTGGCTTAGGATCAGCAGCTCACACCCTGAATACTAAAGGAAGGGTTGAAAAGGACACCTAATCAATCAAGGCAGTCGTTGTTGGTCCTCACTTTCTTCTTGGCTGGAAAGGTGCAGGTTCCTTAGCTTACATCTCAAGATGCTCAGAATGAGCAAAGTAAGGAGGCTGAGGTGAATCCAAATTCAGGAACTAGCCCACACATTCTTCTTACAGTACTTATATATATATATACACAAACAATGAATTTAAAGCAAACCTAGCAAGTGTGCAACTGGTAATCCTGGACTTTTATGAACCTGAGGAGACCATTTGGGAGGCACTACTCTTGGCGTGTAAGAAGAACCGAGTTGCTGAAGTTGCAAGTTTGCTCCAGAAGCCGCTGGATCCCAATAGGACAGGTGCAGACTCCACCTTTGCATTGAGCAGCTCACTGAGGACTCCCTGAGGACTCTGCCTAGCGAGTGGCTTTGCGTGTCCTTAACCCGCGACAGGTTGGGACACTCGCAGCCCCCCCCTCTTGAGCAGCTCACTGTGACCACTTGGAAGTTGTGCGGTTGTTGCTCGGGGCTGGAGCTGACAAGAATTCGGCGGACCCAACAGAATCGCAACCTGGAAGTGGTGCCGTTGTTGCTGTAGGCCGGAGCTGACAAGCAGGCGTCAGTGACGGCTTCGCAGAATGACCACTTGGAAGTGTTCTATTGCTGCGGTGAGAGTGTGCGAGAATGGATCGGCAGCCGCCATGGCTTTCCAAAGCATTTCATGTTCAAGAGAGAGAGAGAGAGAGAGAGGGGGTGGAATTGGATGTCGACATTTGACACCTTTAATTTGGGAACCTCTTTGTCCGCAGAGCGACGACAAGAAGGCGACTTAGAAAAGAATAAAACATGGATTAAGCCGGAGCAAGGACGCTACTAGGTGCTCCTGACCTTACTACTAGGAACAAGGACGCTACGAGCGGAGCAAAGGGCATCGCTACTAGGAACAAGGCTTTGCTGGAGCCATGGGGGACTTGGGTTGCAAACCACTCCTTCAGGCGAAAAAAGAGCGAGCTCTGACCACTTCCATGCAGCCAAGTACCAGAACCCTTCCGAGATCGGCTGTGACTCTGGATGGAGGGTGCTGGTATAAAAACGTAAACTGTAGACCAGAGTCTTCAGCAAAATCAAGCCCCCATTTGGAATGTAAAACCGATTGTAAAACCTCGTCATATGGAGGGGGGTATTCATCAAGAGTCTACAGTCTACATGGTTTCATGGCACATGTGTTCGAACTCCGGGTACCTACGCACGCACCTGAGCCGTCTCCGCCAGGATAAGGACTCCGTGCGGATGCTCAGTCACTGGCGGGCCCGACCAAACTCGCGATCCTGTCGACGAGTTTGGGATCGAAGACCCGGAGACCCCAAGCAATGACCCCGTGGTTGGTAGGGATAATGGACCAGTGGGACCCATGGGAGAAAGAGGATCTCCCTGTTTGAATAGACCCATCGATGACCAGCATCCTGAAAAAGAGGGTCACACATTGAGATCGAAGGAAAGAATTCTCCAAGAGGGAGACCGGTTGGGAGGTGCCAGTCGAGAGAGTGTACTGGAGCGTCTTGTGGCATCTCCTTGGGTGGAAGAGAATTCGTTGCGGGCATGGATCAAACTCATTTATTCCGAAACTTCTACAGCTCTTGAACATCATGGTGTGGCTTTGACCACGTTTTGATTCCAAATATTGGTGTGGTTCAAGATAAGACTCCAAGGACCCGCAGGCCCTCTTTTGCCCTTGCCAGCTTTGAGTTTTGAAGTGAAGTAAACGTCTTGCCATCCGAATTTCGTGGCAGTGACAGACCCCGTCACCAAGGATCGGAACCGCACCCGCGTACTACAGTACACCTCTTTTTTTCGGCTCATGGTGAGAATGGAGAAGTCACAGATTCCTCAAATGTCAGCTGGAAATTTTATTCCTATTTTCTCCAAAAACGCGAAGCCCGAAAAGGCCCACATTTGGACTGGCTGGTCTGCACATACCCCCACGGTGTGTCAATGTGCCTAAAACGCGTCAGGCGCCGTCTGCACGCCGCACAGCCGGGCCGGCCGTTTTTGGTCCAGCCCAGGTGTATACCTTTTTCAGTACCGTCACCTGCAGCAATGCTGACACCTATGAATGGGCACAAAAGCGGCGGGGCAGCGATAGCGCCTTTATGGCCAGGCGGACGATGACCGGGCCATCGATGTGTGGAGGTATGTCCATGTCCATCTCAAACCTTGGATGAACATGTCTAATTACTTCTCATATTCTATCATAATCATATTCATATCTTATCATATATTCAGAATTATAATCATTCTATCTATCATAACACTGTGATCAATCAACTGTTCTAACAAGAGCTGCGATCCATCAATGGCACTGTCTTTCGCATCATCCGCACGATTTATTCATCGAGAATCCGTCCGGACCGCGAACCGATGCGAACGCTGGCAGGTTGCCCACTGACAGCTTAGCCCCATGCGGGTTGGTGAACATCGCGCTGTTCACGGCGGCCTGGGCTCAGACAGCGGAACTCATTTTTTTTGTTTATTTTTCACTTTTGTTTTTTCCGTTTCTTTTTTTTGCAGCGGCCTGGGTATGTGATGGGTGGAGAACCTATAGACTATAGTCCCAGCAACAAAACGTATTATGGCGTGTTGAAGGTCCTGCAAGAAGTCCAGCAAATTTCGGTGGATGACCTTTATTGGACAGGAAGTAAAGGAAGTTTTGAAGAGAGCAAAAGATATGCGATCATACAAATACAAGTGTTAGGTATCAAGGAAAACTAGTATTCAACACTATGTCAAGACACTGCCAAAAGGCCAAAGCAAGGATTGATATCGCGACATATCCTTCAAGAACCCTCTGTGAAACTCTGTGATATTGTTATTTTAAGTTATTTTTGATTCCCATGCTCCTTCATGAGCTAGCAGTGGAATCAGTCGGTTCTTGAGAGTCGCGCAGCCCATCTCAACTCATTGCTCCGCTCTTTCCATGTGGCGCATCGCTCCGAGGACTCCTATCTCTTCGAGCGCGATCTGGGCGCCTCTTGGGAGGCGGCCAGTGTCCCGTCGGGGGTGTCGCCGACAGGCCGCACATCGGCAGCCACGTGGCATGTGGTGGGGGTTTTGTTCCCAAGCCCTTTGGATATGCTGGAAGTCTAAAGACTATGACTATGTATACTTTGCCCACTGAAGTAAAAGAAGTTTGCTTTCAGTCAGATTGGTATTCTTTATGGGATCTTTGGAACGCTTCATCAACCCTGCTCCGTTTGAACACCGGAGAGCGCACTGTGCCGGTTCGTCCCATCAAAGACGACGAGGATACGAGGAGAATGTCAGGCAACGACAACGACAAGGGTTAGCCGGTGCACAAAAAGATCTCGTTTTTGGCGATGGTAGGAGGACACCGAGGATGTTTTCTTGTCATCGGCCCTTACCTGCCTTGGCTGCCTTTAGCTGGTCAGGATGGGCGCACAGGGATGGTCCTGAAGCTCCACCCTTCCGCAAGACACCAGGGTTTGAATAGTATCAAAACACATAACTTGGAGTTTAATCTCCCAGTATATCGTTCTGTGCCTTTCTTTTTAAATCTCCCAAGCAATTTTTCTTATCCCTTGTCACTCTCTAAGCAGTTTAAGTTGCAATCTTTGCACTTCTTGACATGAATTTCCCTCCAGGCCGTGACCATCGACGAAAGTCGCGTGGCACTTCCGGCGGACGATGAGAGCTTCAACAAGGTCACTCAGGAGTGGTCACTCCGGCCGACCTCGCGTGGACACGGCGAAGCTTGGCGGTTCGGGGTCCGGGGTGCCGGGTAGAAGCATTGAAGCAGATGCCATGTAGACGTATGTCGACTATTGAGTAATTAGTATATAAATTCCCTCCCCAAATGGAGATGTAAAACCATTCTGGTAGAGTAGAGGGTTTTTACAGTATTTATCAATTATGAACTAATGTGAGGATTTAGTCTTTTTTTTTGTTGAATGGCCACTATTGATGGACAACATTCTGCACCATCTGGCATCGTGGTGCAGTGCTTCTTTCATTTTCACTGGTAACGGGGCTTAGTCCCTGCAGTTACGACAGCCGCGTTCATTGTGAACAGATTTGAGATACCCTGCAAGAAGGTTCTTGCACAAGCTTTGCACGCCGCTATTGTTCATGGCCCCCGACAGAAGGTGTTCATTGTCTTGGCCTTGGACTACCCCAAAAGAATGGGAAACCAACCGCGTTTGCTGCCTGGTGCTGTGTTGGAAGTTCCTTCGTGCTGCCAAGTAAATAGGATTTTTGAGGACTGGAAGAAGTGACTCGCCATAGTGAGAACTTGCCATTCGCCAAAGATGTTCGGCTCCTCAGGGAGGCCAACAAAGGGTTGATCCACCAACTGGAGACGAGCAGCTCGTCTCCTGTTTGCTGAGACGAGAGGGGACAGCACAAGAGAATGCAACAGACACTTTGGGACAAACACTTGAAGCTCTCAGTCACCAGTTTGGGCGGTGATGGGTCCCCAAATATAAAAGTATAGACACACTATGAAACATTTTCAATTGTTGTCTCCTTGTGTTGGACGCCGTTTCAATCTTTTTGGACATTTTCAAAGCTTTTATACCGAATCCCCTCTAAGAAGTACACACCAAGAAGGACACCATGTACCGAATCCCCTCTAAGAAGTATGTGAGCAGCTTCTGCCGAAGCACAAGACCTTCGTGACACCACTTGATGCCCATCTCCATCACCCTGAAGTTGACCTTCGTTCGCAAGATCGTGAGCGGCTAAGCCCGAATTCACAGCAGGACAATGGCACTATTTACTTGCAGAATTCTCGCGCAAGCTGGTTGACTCCAGACATACTCGAGCACTGGAAGGCTGGGAAATCAACAGAAGTCTTGCACAGGAAGTTGGAGAGGTGGAGAGATGTTTTTGATTCTAGAGTTCAGAGCATCACCTGGAAACTCTTCTTTTTGGTGGGCGAACAGTAATATCGGATTTCTGACAGATTGCTGGATCGGTGTAAAAAGAACAACAACATTGGGGTCGGAGCAGCACCCACTCGCACGTTCGGTGTGTGTCCCATGGTGTTTTTTCGCATCTCCATCTGGGGGTGAAATCTCATCCTCTCAGCAGAGCCATTCTCGGAAGTTGCACGGAAGAATACGTTGCACCGAACTCGGGCCCAGGTGTGGCAACGTACCCCACCTGGGCAGACCGTGCGCAACCTTTGGGGCTATGTCGAAGGTGCCGACCTTCCGAGCGTCCGGTGTTCCGGTGGTGCACCGTTGCGGTGGGCTGAGGGTGTATCTCATGGCCAGTCACTTCTTAAAGAGAGACTGTGTTATTCACTGGGAAAGGTCTGCGACCGAAACCACCTTCATATATAAAGCTCCATCTGATGGTGCTTGAAGATCAGCATCAACCGGGCCCGGGTGTGGCGCATCGTTGCTCCGTTTCGTAGCTTGAAGCTCTCAACATTGTGAAAACTCTCAGTGCTATATTAAATCATTTCTTCAGAATTGTGTCAGGGAAAATCGACCGGAAACCCATCGTTTCGGGAGTGAAAACATGTGAACACCATCTGGTTTCCTGCATTGAGCTCCGGGTTCGGTCTTTGTTGGTCAGAGCACGGAATCCAGTCATGATGGGCACAAAGATGCAGCAGACTCTAGCAGAAAAGATGGTCAGCCATCAGGGTGATTTGGTCCAATGGCCAATCAAGCTCACCATACCTCATATTCTGGCCCTGACAGAGGTCCTTGATGTTCTAGATTGAACAAAAACATTAGCATCGGATACCATTTGATACCTCAAAAAAGCTTCTGACACATCACAACAGATGCTGCGGGGTTTATACAGCAGTGCCTTTGGTGGTTCCTTTCGTTGAAGCGACGCCCAGAAGGGTCACGGCGGACGCACTTTTCTCGCGTCGGAATCCGTTCGCAAGTTGACCGTTGGGGTCTTGATACACCCATAGCGTCCCTGCAGATTCACCCATATCGGTATTCTAACAAACAACATCTTTTGTTCATTTCACATTTCACATTCAACAACTAAAGTTGTATTTGTTCCATTCATTTTTGATGACAGATATTGCCTGTGACATGACATCTTGGATATCTCTGCACCACCTCTCAGGAGGCCTTGAGCTGGGCACCTACAGGACCGCGAAACCGGTCTCCCCATTCGCTTGGCGGGCTATGGGACACTCCGAACTCTCATGTTTGGGCACCGTTTCCAAACACAGAATCGATGTTCCGATGATCTTCCTTCGATTCGATACCTCCAAAAACGATCCGGGCACCCGAACCAATCCTGGGTGGGTCCGGACCCCTGCGAAAGTGTCGGGTCCAAGGATTCTTCAGGTGTGATTTTCAAAAACATATTTTCATGGAGAATGCCCGAGAGCCACATGCCCTCTGAGAGGGTGATGTGTTGGACGATTCAAGCGGTCTTGGAGGGTTCCAACTGAGGATGTACTTGGACCCCTAGGATGTGCAACATGAGAATGAGCTCACCAAGGATGCCGCTGTAGGGGCGTTCTTTTGTTTTGGATGAACATGCATGTTTGCTTGGGAGACACCTTTTGATCATCCATGTCATCAGACAAAGGACAAGCTCGTGTGGTGTGGGTAGTGAAACGGTAGATGCACCAAATATTGCGAATGTATTTGGTTTTCTAGGGCGGAATGCAGCAAACAAGACATGTTGAACAAGCTCGAATTGACTTACGAAGTCTGTGGTTCATTTCATATGATTAGATGCGATTAGTACTAGTACTGACTGAGGCCCAACAACTGAAGACGAATAAACGCATTGTCAACCATTTCTATACGTTGGCCATACATGTTGTTGGGTGATGGCACGTTTTGTCCAGTGAGCCTGGCAGCTTGAAAATAGGATAAACTTCACGGAGAACAGTGCCATTTGGGAAGAGCCGGGAAGCCTTATGCAAGCGAGCCTGGACGTTGGATCTGGGCGCAGGTTTTCCCAGTGTTCCCATTCCTTCTTTGAATCGATGTTCTTAAGTAGAATTTGGGAGGTGGGTGAATTTTCAAGGGTTCATGGCGCCCGGGGTTTGACCCTTTTTCACTTGTCCAACCTGGTGAGGTTGCCTGTCCGACCGAGTGAGTGGAGGATGGCTGTGTCTCTGGGTTGGGCACATCTTATGGCCTTGGCTGGGGTCGTGGACCAGCAATTGCTTGTAGTATAAGCCGACCTGGCACTGACGCGCCTCCTTCCATCCTCCCACAAGGACATCATTGGACACCTTGAACCCTACTAGGAGCAAGGACGCTACTAGGGGCTCCTGTCGACCGATCTTCCAGACCCTCCGTTGGCAGTTTTGGCCAAGAAAGCCGATGGTTTCCAGGTGGGGTGCGCCGGAGAAGCGGCTCATCATCACAGGCGTGGCATGGTGTGGACTCGGTCGGTCCTGGGACAATTCACGGTCGTGCCGACGCCCGGTGTGTGGCAGTTTTGGTGATGACTTTTCCATGGTTTTCACGGTGGTTCCCCCCTGCCTGTGTTTTTAGGCAGATTGATGAGTTCTCTCCCTCTCTCTCTCTCTAAGTCATGTGTATGTGCATATATCATTGTAATTGTGTTTTGGATAAAGAACAACTATATTACTGTAGACCGAAGACGTGTGGGGGCAGAAGCTCGATTGACTTCCCCAGCTCCCAGGCAACCCATCATGGCTGGGCAACCCAGGCGCCATGCAGGCGGTTGCAGGCGCCGGACCCGGGGAGTCACTGGTCTGGGCACCGTTTCCAGGTCCCCAATGGACCAAGGATCATCAAGGTAGTAACTTGAAAAGAAGACACTAGCAGTAACAAGGGCATCGGTACTAGGAGCAAGGACGCTGCTAGTAGCTCCTGGCAGTACTACTAGTAACAAGAAGCTACTAGAAGCTTCAGCAAAGCAGTATAGCCGTCAGTCAAAGATCGTCACGTTTTTAAGGGGAAAGGTCTGCAAGCCAACCATCATCCACTGGGCCCTGGTAATGGGATATACCCACACTTGAAGAACAGACTGGAAGGACGTTATAAACTGGCCTCACTTAAGATGTTCGTGAAGAATGATAGGGACTGGTGGTTTATGGTCATGCTTGGTTTTCAAGAGACATGTCTGGAAATGCAAACACGAACCAGAGCCTCGTTCACTCAACGAAAGCAACCACATTTTGACCTGAGATCCTTTCTACCAGGACCCAACGTTTTCGAAGACGTACAATTTGCTGGAGGGTGCTGGTACTTTCTACAACATGAAAACTGCCAGCTGGTCTCCGGGTGTTGCAGTATCTCTTGCAGGATGCTTTGCAACAGTGAATTCTCAGCAAGATGTACCACCCACACACTCTTGGGCGTTTGGGCATTGTACACTTCTCAGCATGAGACATTGCGTGCATTGCTCAGCCTGGGCGTCTGGGCGTCCGGAAGAACTCATGGAGTTCGGCCTTTTCGACCAACCCCCCTCGTGACTCTTCGCGTCCACCATGCGTCTCGTGACTCCAGGCTGCATGTTCTTCCTGGGCGGACTGGAGTGGGTGTGCTCAGAGCGTCGAGCGATCTTTTCATTCTTAGAAATTGGTAAAGCTGTGACCGTGAGAGAAGATCGAGGTGTGGTGGGATCCACTTGGAAAGGAAAGCAATTCATATTATGAGATCTCTACTTGGAAAGGTTGGAAGGACAGTTAATCTTCAGTCTGGGCCTTTGAAGGGGTAAACTGTCCAAAGCCTCCTGCGTGGCCCGGCAAGTGGGAGGGCTGAAAATGATGCTGCTCCGAAATGCCCGAAAGGAGGGGAGAGAGTGATGTTCACATTTGCTCACAGTTTTTTTTGCAAATATGCACTGGAGCGAAACAATTCACAGGTCCATCGTATAGTATCGGGGGGTCCTGGTGTCATCCTTTGACTATGGTTTGGCAAGATGCAATGTGCAGTTGAAAGGTCATTATCCTCCACAAAAAGGGTCGGCGGAGCAACCCCACTGCCCATTGCTCAATGGTATCGGTGCGGACTGCACCCACTCCGCAAGCAGTGAGCGCCTGAAGCTCAAAGTGTTGTAGATGAACTGGTGATCGTCATCGTGCAGTTCTTTCTACCGAAGTCCTGCCACACTGCTGAATCTGCCACAAAGTGGACAAAAAGACTCTAGCGCATGGCTTGTTTAGTTGAACGTGTATATATAAATATTACAGTCTACATTCATATGTATATATTTAAGGGCTTACGCCCGACAGTGACAGCCGGCCAGGGGCCGATCCGGGCCAAGCTTCGGCGCAACAGAGCCCTTGACATAGGTGCAAGACGGCCCGACAGAGGCCAACAAAGATGGCCCAACATAGGCCGGAGATGGGCTCAACATCAGCCCAACATAGTCCCAACACAGCCCAACATAGGCCCAAGCTCCGCGAAGCCAAAGCCACGCCAAAACCACGGGTTTGAACATCCATCGAAGCGTAGAAAACGCGGTAAAAAGCCAATGTTTTTGAACAGCACGGAGAATCGGGCCAGCAGGCCCTGTTTGTCGCCCTTCGCAGGCCACAAGGGAGAGCGTCGTCGAGAGAGGCATTTTTGTGACATGAGGTTCGATGGATCAGCATAAGAGCGCGGGGAGCCGGGCACCCCGCATAACATCAACATGGCTATTTTCAAGGGCCCGTGGTGCAAGATATGCTGCCTGAGTGGCTTCGCACTATCAGCATTGTGTGCCTTTGGTTGCTCTTATTCTTTCCTTTTCCAGAGAAAGAGCAACAACAACGACAACAATGACAACGACAGCAATAAAAACGACAACAGCAACAACCACAACCACAACCACAACCACCACCACCACAACAACAGCACCAGCAGCAGCAGCAACAACACCAACACCAACAGCGACAGCAAAAACAAACACAAAAACAAACAACCAACAACAAACAACAACCACAACAGCAGCAGCAGCAACAACAAGAGCAAGAACAAGAACAAGAACAAGAACAAGAAGAAGAAGAAGAAGAAGAAGAAGAAGAAGAAGAAGCAGAATAACAAAAACCAGAACAACGACGACGACGACGACGACGACGGCGGCGGCGGCGGCGGCGACGGCGACGGCGACGGCGACGGCGACGGCGACGGCGACGGCGACGGCGACGGCGACGGCGACGGCGACGGCGACGGCGACGGCGACCACGACCACGACCACGACCACGACGACCACGACGACCACGACGACCACGACGACGACGACAACAACGACGACAACGACGACAACGACCACAACGACCACAACGACGACAACAACGACAACGACAACCACAGCCACAAACAACAACAACAACAGCAGCACCAGCAGCAGCAGCAGCAACAGCAACCACAACGACAACTACAACTACAACAGCAACACCAATGACCACGACAACAACCACAACACCAGCAGCAACACACAACCTCTGATGGTTGGCCTGCTGGCCCGCTGGTGGGCGTCAGCCCCTTAAATTTGAGGACACACCCTGCCGGGGCCCTCACCGGGCCCCTGGCCGGATATATGTATATAATTGTATATATATGTATATATATTATTTTGTTTATATGTATATATTATATAATATATATATATAATATAATATATAGAGAATATGGGCTAATGCCCCTGCTACTGCGGACCTTTTTTGGTTCAAGATGGGTGCCTGGCGTGGTGCCCACTCCGTTGTCGTCATCGGGGGGGCACCCATTGATCTATTATACACGGGCGATCCAACTGAAGCAGTTCACTTGGCAGGCTCCCCTCGCCACAGCCTTAGCCCACGTTGTTCTGCGCACAAGTGCGGCTGGAAAGGGTCCAGACAGCAGCTTCGAAGCCCACCAGGAAAAGGTGTGCAAGCCCACGGCCTGAGGCGTGGCAGCCCTCACCACAGCCTTAGCCCACGTTGTTCTGCGCGCAAGTGCGGCGCTATGCAGCTGTCCAGTGAGATGGCAAGGCCACTGCCAGGGCAACTGCTTCTGCACTTGCAACCTTCGGTATCCCAAGCAACGCCCGCCTAGGCTTTGGCTTGGCCGGGGTCTGCGGATATACACATGCTAACTGCTATGATGAATGTTCAACGCTCTTTCTTGAAGAGGTCAGAACGCAAGAGCAGATCCAGCAACAAGATCCGCCCACACCGACAAGAAACTCTTGGCAGTGCTGCTTGCTACCTGTTGATCTAGGTATTCCTCTATGTTCAAGCGCCGGCGCAAGAAAAGTAGTGAGGTGTACTAGGCATCCTCTAAAATTTCAATTCTAGATGTTTGTTGATGTTTTGCATTGTAGAGGAGATCTGATCCTGCCCAGGTTCGTGTTGTTCTTTGCCTTTCTCGTCATGATCTTCGGCTGGCAGTCTGTGGGGAAGCCAACGATCTTCGAAGACCGGCGCCGAACATGTTTTGGCTCAGTTCCAACCAACCAAGACGGAAGACGTCGGACCTGACGCAGTCGACCGAGCGACCGGGTGGCTTGAAACCTAGACGCCACGCACTGAAAAAGGAATTTCCTCAAACATTGAAATTCACATCATGACATTCGGGGTGGACATGGTCAAAGGAGTCTTCTTGACGAAGCGGTGTTCAAGGAAACTGATACCCCCTGAGTATCCTGGTTACCACTATGTTATGGAACCAGGTTTTGCCGTCTTTGGAATTGGTGACCCGCTGTGGTGGTTTGCCTGGATCCCCTGAGATAGTATGTATACATACGCATACACCCACATATATATATATGGGCATTTGGCGTGCCTCGTTTGAACCCCAGATCTTCCATTTTTCCGCTTGCTTGGTGCCCTGCCTCACCCAGTTTGCCTGCTCCTCAGCTCCCCAGGTGCCAACCGGTGCTGGGGATCCAGTAGACATCGAGCAAATGGAGGCGGAACCCACCGCCCGGGTGCCGGCCCCTTGGCACACGACGACGAACACGGTGGAAGTTGGAAAACGTGTTGTGGTGGGTGGAAGGCGTTCTGTTTCTGCAGGTGGATCGAGTGGTGGGCACCGGGGAAGTCCATGTTGTTTTGAGGTTGAGATGAAAGGCTGAAACCTTCGGGTGTTTTTCCTTTTCAACCCTTTATTGTTTTGGGCGGTCAGCACAGTAACCCTGCTCGGGTCGCTCTTCCTTTCCCTAAGACAATGGCCCGGATTCTTCTTTGTTTTCCCTGCCGTACTGGTCTGATGAACCCTTTTTGTTTGAATCTGCGACTTGCAGGAAGTGAGACCGCCAAGAGAGCCGGTACACTCCGTGCGCGTGTGACGTTGCTCCGGTGGCTCCGGGGGGTTGCTCCGGTGGCTCCGTGGTAACAATGGCGGTGCGACGTGATCTGAAGAGTCTGGCCGAGCCCCCATTGGCCCATCCAGGAGGAGAGGCGTGGCATCAACCAAAGGGTTTATGTCGGAAAGCGGAAGAAATGAATCAAGAGGTTCAAACAGATCAGAAACATCCAATCGATTTGTATAATTCTAGGCTTTGGAGTCTTTTGCTGGGGCCAGCAACAGTGGGGTTGGATAGTACAACCATGTACAATCCTGCAGTGGCATGACTGGAGTTGATCCAGGAAGGTCACATCGCCCAAGCCTTTGCACGACGGCTCTTGGATATTCTTTCGGCAGGGACGACTCTCCAAACTGTGAAGAATAGCTCGAACTTCCAACCCCTTTGGTCTTTCCATCTCCTTCTGCTTCAGCTAAGAAGAAGCGCTAGCTGTATCAGGACCCACAGTCGGGGTGGTTAATAGTCACAGGATGTGACCATCCGTGACCTCTAAGGGGCCATCGCTACAATTCCCAAGACAGAGTAAAACCTGGTCCTTTGTGCCGTTGTATGACCGTCTCCAGTAAAATGAGGTCTTTGATCTGCAGGGTATTAAAATAGGCTCCCTTTATATATATATATATATAGAGGGGTCCTGGAATGCATACCCTGCCCATCGAGTCACTCCGGTTGCCTAGCCATGACGAGGCCATACACTAGCGAAACGGAACATGGGACGTGCGTTGGGAAACGGCAGCGCTGGTTTCAGACATATCTACTAGAAAAGGTAGAAGATCCTCTTCACAGGTGTCCTTCTCCTAAGCTGGGTTGGTTCCATGTACGTGCCTTTGAACTCCGGGCAAAATTGCTCCAACGAACCTCATCTTCAGCTGCGCTGCTCGACGAAGAGTGTCACCCTCCCCGAAGATCCAAGACCTGCCGTTTCACACCCGAAGGGCCTACCTACCCGCGTCCACGCCCTGGGTCGGTGGCTGGGGACGGGAGAAGCCGCGACGTCGCACCCGAAAAAGACAGAGAAGGATGGTGCTTTTCGCTTGGGACCGAACTGGGACATGGGAGGAGCACGGAGAATTGGTTGGACCACGGAAAGCTATAGTGACTGGTGCGGCTTTGGGGTTCACTATGATGACATTATTGATGAATCATTATTCATCACCCCCTCAAGAGAGTTCTGAAACATATGGTCCAATTGTCAACATTCGCATATGCCATGATCGTTCCAGAAGATGTGAGTTTGGACTTTAGCTCAACGAGCGACTCTTTCAAAGGAAAGGCCGTATATGGCAGGGAGCCCATAGAAATCCAGACTGCGAGCACTTGGCAAGAAACAACATGATATCTGGATGTTGGGAGTTTGGGATGGCTGGAGGGGTGCTCTTTTGACTCTTTTCCCTTGTCAGAATCCCAAAGCTTTCATATTTCCGGAAACATCTAATTACAATAGCAACACAGGCGCACGTGATGGGTGAAGCTTCCTCCCTTCTCAAATGTGATACCAACGTCGATCATGCCCAACGTTGATACCCACATCGAAGGATCCAACGGACCCCACCACTCTGAAGCGTCCATAGGTCCTAAGAGTCCAAGGATTCGCGGTGCTGTTTGCATCGGTCTGCTCAATCTCAGTGGAGAACAGTCGATCCGATGCACCTGTGACCAGTCGATCTTGATCTTTCGCGAAACATCGGTACGGCACGGTGAAGTTCGTTCGGTGCTACCGCGCCAGGTGTCGGTCGCTGCGGCGGCACGGCAGGCCACACCGCCGGTGCCGTGCCCTCCAGCGGCAAGGCGGAGCGGTGATTTCAGGGAGAGTAGGGGGGACCAGATGTGAATGTCCGGATGAACGAAATCTCTCATGTTCAGAGCTGGTTTGAGACCATCTTTGAACTTTATGGTTGACTGCACTCCGATCCATGCGAAGCTTAGATCACAAGGAACCCAGTTTCAAGCCAAGGGCCTGGTGGCCGAGAGGCCGTGACGGCCCCAGACCCAGGCAGAAGCTAGCCTGTCAGGTGGCCAACGAAGCATAACGAAGCGAAAGCCCATCGGCAGGCGAAAGCGAATTCCGACAATGGGACTTGTGAAAACCAGAAAAGCGTGATCCCTCCAACTAAATATGATACATATGCTTACACAAGTGCCTACACGCTCTTCTCAAAGCACTCCGCACCAATCGAAGAACAAAAAAAGTAAGGAGGGGTCGACAAAAATGGCCAGGCCATGATAAGGGGCCATGTCATACTCGTACCGCCTTTGAGAAGAGTTGGAGTAAGGGAGAGCCAAGCGCAACTCCACAACCACAAAAAAACATTAAAAGCACAATCTCAACAAAGCTGCCAGCATATGAGTCTCGAACACCAACATCCAAAAACAAAACAAGGCTTCAGCTAATCCCAACATGAAAGACTCCACTTGACCGCAGAAATCAAAGCAGCAGTAAGCTCTGCACGTGTATTGTTTGTGAAGAACCAGGAAGCCACCTTGAACTCACAACCTGCGAAGTGGTAGCTATTGCCAGTCCAGCAGCACTGCTACACTTTTATGATCTTTTATGAGCCGTTCTTCGAAACAAGCGGAAAGCATGGAGCAGCTGATAAAGGCCCGGATCAGCCTGAGGCCGATTACGGTAGACAGAGTCCACCGAAGTGCTTTGGTTTTTAAGTAGGAAATCGTGGAGTCACTAAGACAGTCATGAACCTGAAAAGCTCTGGTACAACGCGTCAGTTGGTCATTCCAGAACGGACTCCACAGTGAGCGGCTAAGAGCTGTCGAGTGATCCGATTGAACGCCCTGATCGGATCGATGCTAAGACCCACTGACACCCTTGCTGGCTGAATGGCTGACACGGGCTGACACGGAAAACCCACCAAAATGCTGGGTGATTACCAGAGGAGCGGATCAATTGATGAATCTTTTCAAGGAGTGGATCATCCCCCACATCGCCCTCAAGAACATCTGCCCGTCTGAGGGTCCTCAAAATGCCGACAGGCCGAGCGGTTGGAGTCCACACTGCCCAAAACTCGAGCACCTATAACTCCTGAACGGGCGCATAACTCCAGAACCTCATTGGAAAAAGGGTAGCATTGGAAAACGTACTAAAGATGTCTTGTTCATGAAGTCGAATGACAAGGGGCTCACACTCCAAGATCAATGCTCGGTAAATCGTGAGCCGGGCTCATCATGTAGGGCCAACATGGAACCTCCCATGGAGGCACCAGAACGTCAGCGGAACCATGAAACTTAGGAGCACTAGCCTAGCACTTTCGTTCTCCCAAGTGGTTGGCGCCGACACCACCCCAGTTTAAGTATGGTGTGCCGACAGGGCCAAGGGCCCAAGGGCTAAGTGTTAAACGTTTAAACCTGTTCCAACATCAACGCGGTCCAGGTTGCCAATATCTAGAAGTCTGGAACCATGTATGGCACCCATAAGTATGACCTCCCCGCTTGCAAGTTCGAAATCGTGGAACTCCGCTGCAGGCGCAACGGTTCCCTGCTCCTCTGGACCGTCGACTCTGGAGCGCGAAGCACCGCAGGGAGCGGTCCACGTGGTCCTCCTCGTCCGCCAGAGGTGCCCGGTCGCGACGCCGCGTCGCGACGCGTCGCGCGGAGTCGCCGAGTCGGATGTGGAGTTGAATAGTAACAGGGGCATCGCTACTAGTAACAAGAAGCTACTAGGGGCTCCTGGCCTTA